CTTTCACTGATAGCTTGGGACCAGTAGTGACTATCAACACTGACTTAGTAGATTCAATAGCAAATTTGATGTGGACTAGGTACAGGCAAAGAATTATGCTTCTTTCAAGCTAGCTAGATCACACAGTAGAGTTTATATCAACTTTCAAGTTATATGATGGTTTTACACTGCCTGACAATTCTGTCTAACCAATAGTTCGGATATTTATATATATATATATTTTTGAGCAGTTCTGAACCAGTATTTGGGATTTATGCCATAATGACATTTTATGCTATGAAGCCATCACACTTTTGAATCCTAAAATTTGGATTTCCAATGTCACCAAATCATGATTTCAGTTAAATATCAAACACATTTTGGTAACAGGTAATTTTCTTACTTGCAGGCAGAACTTAAAGCTCTTTTTTTTTTTTTCTCCAAACAAGAAAACACAGGCTGAGATCTAGCTCTGAATTAGGGCCGTTACTATCTGCGCGAATCTATATGGTCACGTATCCCTGCGTCAACAGAAATTTAGCAGACTTTCTTAGTTTGTGAACGACTTCTAGCAATACACCCAGGAGGAAGAAAGGAAACGTTTAATAACCTGCTTTAAGGCACAATTGTCCTATTCACCAAAGGTCAGTTCACACCTGCTAACTGCTCTCCCTGGAGGTGGGCTACACACACCAGCAGGGGACAAATGGCCTAGGCGTGACATTTTTTTTTTTTTTTTTTTTTTTTTTTTTTTTTTCCATTGAAATGCATCCTAGGGATGTGGCAATGTTCTCCAATTAGCCCCGAGTGCTCCACCTCGGTTACGGGTAAGGCAGATCAGCCTTTGGGAAGCAGTTTAGGATGAACCAGAAGGGAGGGTGCCTATATGAACAAGAACAACGTGCAAAACATTCACGTGTACATATTTGCTAGTGGGTGCATGTGTGACCTTAAAGCAGCTCAGCTGGGCGCCAGCTGGAGAGTTCAGTGTCTGTGACCAAAACTCATCTTCTCTCCTCCTTTCAGGTGACAAAGCCCCAGGGCTGTGACCAAAATCCTGCCCTCCGCAGATCTTGCAAGTAAAGCACTTAACACGTTTCTTGCAAAGAGCACAAGGCCGTTACCATAATAACTACCCAGTTACTTTGGAAACAGCTCTGAATCTTCCCGATAGATGCCCCATGCTGAATATAATTTTCAAGGCCCTTAGAGTAGAGGGAGCAGAGCACAGACCCGTCAGTTACAGCACCGCACGTGCTCCAGACTCCTCAAGCAGGACGTTTAAGATGGCCGCCTCATCACAGAGAAAGCCACCAGGCTGCGCAGCCAATTCCTTCCACCTTAGCAGCCACCATGCCCTTACTTGGTGTGATTACTCCCACCCCACATACCTGGCCTCTTCGCTGCCAAACCTGGGCCAATATCTGAGCTATGGGAAGGGCATAGCCCCGCAGCTCTTCCACCTGGATGGATTCTCCTGAGCCTTTCTGCCTCTGAAGGGCCTGTGGGAGTAAAGAGCAAGTTGTGTGATTTACCAGAGGAAAACAACAGGCCTCACACTGACCCCACACAGTGGGGTGAGGCAGAGACTCGTGGTGTGGGAGAGACCCAGCCCGAGCGCACAGCTGGACAGGCGCAGATCCACCCACATGAGGACACCAGGACGCGGGGCCCTGAGCCACGGCCTTCACACAGGATCTCCTGTGTTTACCTCTGATTTCCTGGGCATAGATTGCTCCCGGTGGCTCCCTGCAGGAGACATCTGCAGTCTCTCCCTTTTGCTCCTGCTGTTTGCAGGGCGAGCTCCTCAGGGCTAGCTGGGGCCCTAATTGGCATCTGCACAGCATCTGTCCTGATGGGAGCTTGCTGCCGCTCTCACTTTCGCTTGCTGCTGTTGTGATATAAAAACAAATAAAAACGGGTAACCCAGGTAACTGCGTCACTGGTCCTTCTCCACACTGTCCATTCCGAATATTAACGCTATTCCCTCAAAAACTCTTAACTGCTGTTTCTTGTATGCCATCATAACACAAAGTGCTGTGATTAAAGCAAGGCTCAAAAGTGCAGCATTTCTTATTTGGGTGTTCTTATTTGTTCCAGTCATCCAGTCAAATAATAGCAAGAAAATGTACTTTTATCACACACACACAGAAAAAAAGGACCTGACTTGTGCCTAATTGTTATTCTAATTAGAAATCCTGCTGTAGTGTAAATTTTTTCCCTTGGCATTATTATGAACCTCATTTCCTTGCAAAGTCCAGGATAAACAATTCCAATATATTTTGTTTTAATTATCAGAGTTTAATGGAGCATAATGAGACTATGTTGAGTGGTGCAGAAAAAAATAATAATTTAATGCGTCCAAAACTACTGAGTGCTTCTAGCTTGACTGTGCATATTTCACCTATTGTGGTGCAGCACTTTTTTAGCTGATATTCAATGTGCCCATCATTTATTTATTAATTATACCTGCTTTTCAATGGAAAAATCTGTCATTTTTCCTGGTATCTGAAACAAGAGGAAACCCATTAAGATAGCCTGGAAAAAAAGGTAAGTTTCTGAGTTGAACAGTGAAGGATGCTGCAGATAGACTGCGGATGGTGCTTGAAGAAGTGTTTGTCATGTTACAGATATAAGACTGGGGTATATTGGATGCAGAAGCTGCTCCAAATGCAGCCCCTCTCCCAGCATTACTTCACAGAGCAAACTTCAGGCTTCAGTCCATAAGATCCCTGCTAAAACAAGCATCAATAATACCAGCTGAAGTCACCAACCCAAAGTGACCTTGCCTGGAGTCTCACTCTGGACACCTTTTCCCAGTCACAAGCTATGGTTCCTGCAGATTTAAAAGCCCACAGCCACTTTTGCAGTAAAAAGGCAATACAGCAAAACAACATTCAGAAAATAACCTAAGTAAAGTAAGATTATGATTCTTTACTCTTTCCAAGTCTCTTTGAATGAGTCCAACAGATAGGAGAGGCTAATGGCCCCATTACATTAGCAGTTAGCACCACCCAACTACTAAGCTTGTATTTCACCTTACTAAGCTAACCATGTACTAAGATTTGTTTTTCCCCTCTTCTTCTTCTACACATAAATTTTATTTAGATCAAGAAAGATTTTACCCATTTGGCTGAGAACCCATGACGTTCACCCATGCACTTTTGCACAGCATCTGTCCAATTCCGGTGGACACTCCACCCCACACTGCTCCAGGCTGCATGTCCAAGTACATCCATTGAAGCCCCTGGGAATGACCTTTCTTCCAGAAAGGATTTGATCACAGCTTTAGGAAGAAGGCTCAAAGACAGCGTGATAAAACAGACCAAATATTACATTGTACATTTTTATTTGAAATTAATATTTTATAGTACAGATTAAGTTAATATACTCAAAATATTTGTTTTTTAAATAAAATTATATAAATCAGTATTTACAGAAAAACATTTACATGAATATTTTTCTGGTCCTTTTTTTTTTAAATCTCATTGGAGTAAAAAATTCTCCATAAACTTTCTGTCCATGGGAAGTGTCACGTAGTCAGGTGTCAGCCTCCTTCAGTGAGCAATGAACGCAAGAAACCTAACTGGGCTTAAAGCACAGTTCAGTGAGCTGACTGAGGAACCGCTGTGGTCTAATTGTCTGCATTAAAAAGTAACAAGACATCAAGGTGTCAGGGGTCCTCTTCTATGCCTGTGTCCTACGTGTCAAGGAAGAATGAAAGGGAAGTGAGCATCTCCCATCAAACTTTCCTTAGACACAGGAGCAGGGCACCATCCAGCATGTTCTCACAGACCTCCGAAGTTGGCTCTCTTCCTTCCTTCCTCCTATGCGATATAGGTTCCTAGCCAAGCTGAGGATACCACTGTACAAACACACACTGAAACATAGACTCTGCTGCCCCATAGACAGCTGAAGAGCCGCAGCAGAGCATGGTGGAAGAAAATACGAAGAGGGTACTTGCTGGCCCTTCACCATGCAGAAGAGCAACCCCCAGTCAGAAGTCACATTTCCTAATTCCCACACAGCTACTAGTTCTCTATTCCCTTGGATTTCTTAGTGGGCAGCAAGCCCCAGAGGGATTTCATGTCCCTCTGCATTTGGCAGATATAAAAGTGGTGTGAAGTGTGTTTCTGGCAAATGCATAACCTGCAGGTGGAGGAAGCCTCTGGTGAGAGCTCTGAACAAACCCACATCCCCAAAGCTCTGGCTAAGAGTGAACAAGGCTTTTGGGTCACACGGCCAAAGCTGAGTACGGTTCTGTTCCCGAGAGAGCTGCACCCGTGGGCTTGAGGCAGGAGGAGATGCCTGTCAAGCTGCCTCAATATACTAACCACCTTTGTTTGAATGTTCACTTCTTGTATTTGGATTCATTTACCCAATAGTTCCAGTTTTTCATGTTTTCCCCTGGATCTTAGTCAGTCAAACTGGTTTCCATGCACATCAGCAAACCCACGGGAAGCTCACAGCTCTTTGAAAGCTGGCCTTACACTTCTTTCCACATGGCCACGGTGTGGGTTGGTGAATCTGAAGCACAGCTGAGCTTCTGGCTCTCCCGCCCCATAATCTGAAATGCCATTTCTCTTGATATCTTCAGCAGCAAATGGGATACGGAGCTCAGGTACATGTCAAATGCAGGAAAAAAAAGTGCGGGGGAGGTCCTGTTAATGACATCCACATCTTGTTGCCACCATGTCTTTATAATTTTTAAGGACCACATTCTCTTTGTCATCAAAGTAGAGAAGATTGAGGGACTTCAATTCATCTGGTACACAGCACGGTGTGCTGACATCTTGAGACAACTTGAGTGTATGGACTATGGACTGGACAGTGGCGTGGTTGGTTGCATTTTGGTTTTCCCCTAAGG